TCAAGGTGCTGCAATAAACCAGTCAAAGTCTAGACCTCATCCTAAATAAAAGGCTGTGGCTGAGACCTTTAGAGAGATGTGTGTAAATAAACACCTCAAATTCTCAATAAGTCTATGCCAGGGTGCTGGAAAGGAGAGTTTGTCTGCCAGTCAAACCTCAGATACAGGAGGAACAATGCGGTTTTCGACCTGGTCGTGGAACACTGGACCAGCTCTTTATGCTCTCAAGGATACTTGAGGGTGCATGGGAGTTTGCCCAACCAGTCTACATGTGTTTTGTGGACTTGGAGAAGGCATTCGACCGTGTCCCTCGGGGTGTCCTGTGGGAGGTGATGCGGGAGTATGGGGTGTCTGGCCCATTGCTACGGGCCATTCGATCTGATGTCTGAGGGTCTGCCACTGGCAGGGGGAGTGGTGGGGGAGGATAGGCCTCCATACCTTGGAGGGCCTGAGATGTCCCTAGAGAGGTGGCGTCTGATACCCGACCTGACATATAGACACAGACAAACAGGCACACACAGATACAAACATCCATTCCCACCCCTCTAATGCACACATATGCAAATACTCAGCACTCACCCAACGTGGAGACAGACATAAATAGACATAAATCTATATAATATAATATAATGTTACAGTGGGGAGTTACCTTCAGTGGTGGAGCAGGAGGAAACACGTACAGGTACACATTGAATCCCAGGACAGCCAGGGTGATGGCTGGGATGTTTCCTGGACCCTCCTGGAACAGCTGGACAAGCAGGAGCAGGAGGCCTGCCTGGAAACCCCTCTGCATGCTGAAAGCTGAGGTTTAAAGGAACTGTTGACATGACAGATAAAGACAGACAACAATTCACAGTTCAGGCCAATTTAGAATCACCAATTAACCAGACCTATGCATGCATGTCTTTGGACTGTGGGAGGAAGCCCGAGTACCCAGAGAGAACCCACACAGGCCAGAGATTACACAGACAGCACCAGCAGGCCGGTGGATTCAACCTTACTGTGTGGCACTAACCACTGCGTGGTTAGTAACAAAACTATACAGCAGAAAAATAAAGTTTCACGGGATTGTTTTACTTTGTCGACAGCGCTACTCTGTCGGAAGATGTGACTATCAAACAAACATGGACAATGAAAAGTAAAACAAACAAAAACCATCCAGCCAAAAGAGAATATTACAGTTTTTGTTTCAAACCTTTTATTAAAAACTAGTATGTGTCAAAACTTCTTTCTCACAGCAGCAATACTGAAGGGACCATTTCATGTAATCACATCACAGTCTGAATGATGAAAAAACACATTTTATCCCATTACAGATGCTCCTAACAGATGTCCACTCTTTTGCTGTTATTGTCACTGAGACATTTTTAGATCGACAATTTTAAAAAAAATTAAAAACATGCTAGTAACATCTTTTGGTGTTTGACAAAATTAATTGCAATTAAACATTAAACAATGAGTGAGCATAGTCATGATTTGGGGGAAAAGCACGCGCCCACGCACGTGCAGAGTGGGGTTGGTTCAGTTGGGGGATGATACACACCATAACATTAGTATTTAAGTCTTTAGCTGACTTCTAAAAGAGCTCAGTGCTCCAGGCGGAGCTCTCCACTGGTCATGCGCCGCACAGCCTCAAAGATCTCCCTGCACCCTTAGGTGGATGTGCAAGAACAAACAGAGTGAGACTGTCAAACCTAAGTGAGCAAATGGACATGTTTAGAGTTTGATAATCAGATATAACATTATAATAACTGTGTGCTGAAAGACGCTCAAATACACATTCTCTTGAGCATTTATCTGCACTCCTTTAGCTCCCTAAATGTTGAAATGTTAATGTTTCTTTTTCACAGATGAGTCACTTTATTTCATTATTTCATGAACTAAATGACAAAGATGGGGTCTATCTAATAATATCTAAAAAACAAACAAACCAACAAACAAACAGAAAAATGTTTAGCATCTAGGCTTGTATAGACCTGTGCATCACGAGATTAGCGGTGCCCACACAGTTACAGCCAAACCTTCACTTTTTCACATAATGTAAACATGAATCTGCGGTCTTTAGACTCAGCAGTGTCTGCTCCTCGTCCTCATTATTTCTCTTTTAATAAGAATCAGCAGGATCTGAACAAACTTACAGGTCAACTCAGTGGCGTCTGGCGATGTGTTTGTTTATGCATGCTTTGGGTCGGGCACACACTTCTTCTGTGGGTCTGTCTGCGCGCTCCCGCCGGGGGACGAAAATCGAAAGTGATACCTGAGAGGAGAACGACCCCGCGCAATAAATTAACAAACAAATAGCAGCACAAACAGTTTGATTGCCGGTGGGCAATAAATCCATCAGCGGGCAACACGTCACCCTCGGTATGTTTGCACAGCGAGATTTCATTGGCTGAGGACGGAGCTGGGCTTTAGAGACGATCTGAAACGCATCCGTGTAAATCCTGCGCCGTGGATGCTTATATCCTATTCCATCCTTCCATAATTACATTTCTATTAAAATATATGAGTTTGTAAAGAACAGCTAACAAACACAAAGCTCTGCAGCATGTGATAACTAACCGCTCTGAGCCCAGGGCGAAGTGTGTTAATCACACCCGGGTTACGTTTCTGTGATGTGGATTCACTTACCCTAACACCGCTGATCAGGATAACCGACCACACTAGGCTGGTTGTTAACTTGCTAAGTTAACCCAGGTTTCTCCTGCGCGTTCACGGGAAAGGGTGGCACTGTGGCACATCATCAATCTAAAAGTGGGCGTTTCACTTTACTTCACCCTGCTGTTTATTTCTAAGGTGACGGCAGCTCGGAAGCTTTAAACTATGCTACATAGTTTAAATGCTACTACAACAATGCTAGTGCTAGCGGCGCTAACGGCTGCAGATAGGAAGATACTGCCAGCACCGGAAACGTGCTCGTCATCTCCGAGCATGAAGTAAGGAGAGCCTTCAAGAGAGTGAACACCAGGAAAGCAGCAGGACCAGACGGCATCCCAGGTCGTATCCTCAGAGACTGCGCATACCAGCTAGCTCCTGTGTTCACTGAGATATTCAACATCTCTTTATCTCAGTCGGTGATCCCCACATGCTTCAAAGAGTCCATCATTGTTCCTGTCCCGAAGAAACCCCACCCTGCTTCTCTCAATGACTATCGCCCTGTAGCCCTCACCTCAGTAGTGATGAAGTGCTTTGAACGCCTGGTCAGAGACTTCATCATTTCTTCACTACCAGACACACTGGACCCACTACAGTTCGCTTACCGTCCAAATCGTTCCACAGACGATGCCATCTCTCATCTCCTCCACACATCACTCACTCACTTGGACACTAGAAGGGGGAATTATGTTAAAATGCTCTTCATAGACTACAGCTCTGCATTTAACACCATAATTCCCTCCACACTCACCACCAAGCTGGAGCATCTGGGACTCAGCTCATCTATGTGTCAGTGGATCTCCAACTTCCTAACTGGCAGACCACAGGCAGTAAGGATGGGCGGACATGTCTCAGCCTCCACCACTCTCAGCACTGGAGCCCCCCAGGGGTGTGTTCTGAGCCCCCTGCTGTACTCTTTGTACACATATGACTGTGTGGCCACTACCAGCTCCACCACCATCATCAAGTTTGCTGACGACACCGTCGTGGTGGGCCTGATCTCTGATAACAACGAGACGGCCTACCTGAAGGAGATTAGGAATCTGGAGAACTGGTGCCAGAGGAACAACCTCCTTCTAAACGTCAGTAAGACAAAGGAGCTGATAGTGGACTTCAGCACTAAGCAGGAGAGGAACTACCAGACCCCCGTCATCAACGAGTGCCCAGTGGAGAGAGTGGACTGTTCTCTCTGCTGAGGTCAGGAAAGCGATTCCGCTCCCTGAAGACCAACACAGAGAGACTGAGGAGGAGCTTCTTCCCGCAGGCGATACGGTCTCTCAATCACACCACCACACAGTACTGACCCACACATACAGTTCTTACACACACACTGGACATTCTGGACATTGTTTTCACTTCATCACTTAAATCACTTTAAGCATATTTGCACTGCACAAGACATAATGTGGATTGCACAACACTGGTCACTATATTCTTCATTTCCAGTTAATACTTGTACAGCTGCTGTTATTGTGATATATATTTATTTATATTTCTTCATACATTCTTATATAGTTCTATATTGTGTATTTTGTTGTACAGTTATTTTATTTTCAACTTTAATTTATATATTTTATCTTATTCTTTCCCAGTTAAATTTACCCTTCATTCTAATTTGTGTTGTACAGTTATTTCATTTTTAACCTTAATTTATATTTTATTCCTTCCTAGTTAAATTTACCCTTTTTAATTTCCATCCATCCATCCATTCGCTTCCGCTTATCCTTTTCAGGGTCGCGGGGGGCGCTGGAGCCTATCCCAGCTGTCATAGGGCGAGAGGCGGGGTACACCCTGGACAGGTCGCCAGTCTGTCGCAGGGCTAACACACAGGACAGACAACCATTCACACTCACATTCACACCTAGTGACAATTTGGATTATCCAATTAACCTATCCCCACAAACACCCTTTTTAATTTTTCATATTTATTTCCTATCTTATTCATAGCCTTTTCCTTTTTTGTTTTCTTTAGGTCACGAGCAGTTGTCCAAGCATTTCACTACATATCGTACTGTGTATGACTGTGTACGTGACAAATAAAATTTGAATTTGAATTTGAAACTGGATTCATTTTAAATGGAGGCTGTAGCTGAAATGTTTGTGTGGGTTGCCATGACAACACCAAAGTGAATCTGAGATCGTTATTGTTTTCTATTTGTTTTCTTTATTTGCTTCTCATGCTTGTGTACATTTGCAGTAGGAAAAGATAATCTATGAATCCAGTGATATATCCTTCTTATAAGAAATGTTTCTGTTAAAATATTATTGTGAAGTAGTCACTTCCTGTGAGTTGCGGGAACCGGAAGTTGTGCGCGGGAGAGACAAGACAGAACGGTAACACGGCAGACTTTTCGGAATGTACAACTTTTCTACTGCTGGTTTTACAAGGCGTACACGGTAAAAATCATTATGCTGTTATTTGTTTAACACTTGTGCACTTTGTGAAAGGAAACAAGTGGCTGAGATGAATATCATATGTGCTATTGATATTATTTTACTTGTTTCTAGTTTTCACGGTGCTCCATGATTGTGAGAGGAATAAAAGAATTGTGGACATCAGTACGAAGCGTGGATTCTTTCGACCAGAGTAGAAACAGAGGCCGTTTTACTCTCTGAGCTGCAGACTCGATGTGGCACAGGCATCACTCGGGGAAATAGATGACAAGTCTCAATTTCATCAATTTGGCCATACCAACAAACATGCCAAGCCTTGTGGACTTCATCACATCAGGTCATATCATTCATGTAGAGCAATTTGGCAGATGCGTGGATTTAAAAGGAACAAATGAGAATTCACTTCCTGGTCAGTTTTCTCAATAGAGTAACTAGGGCTGTTCGATATAACAGGAACAGAATGCAAGCAGACAGTGACTAAGAACTAAACTAAACCTAAACTGGGAGCAACTATAGAAGCAATACAAAGGAACTAAAAACCTGACAGTCAGAGACATGAAACACAAACCATGAAACCTGGAACACGGAGAAATGCAGCAGGTGATACACAGATGATCCACACAGATAAAGGGCTTAAAACACACAGGGATAACGAGGGAATGAGACACGGGAGGAGGGCTGGGAGAAATCACACAAAATCAGGGGAAGCAAAACTGAAAACACAAACATAGCACACGAGATTGTCAAAGTAAAACAGGAAACATGACACAAACCTGACACTGAAACAATGAGAAGTACAGACACGAAAACATAACTTTACTAAATGTGACGTAAGGAACGTAGGGGAAGCACAGACACAGAAATCAAGAGACTGGAAACTAAATAACAATGAAATCAAAGATTATTAATAATTCAAAAACACAAAAGGATGGGTGACAGATCCAGGACCGTGACAGGAGGAGCTACACAGCAGGGGAGCCGTGCTTGGGTTCATGGTCAGCGAACATCAGGGAGATGAAGGCTGAAGCGATCTGAAGACACTATGACTGGACTGACTCGGTCCTTGTGTGTCTGTGTGAGTCTGTTTGTGTGATTAGTGTTTTCTGTTGTTGCTGCAGATACTAAACTGCAAGAAGCAAAAGAACCACATGAAGCTGACGTCACCTGTCTGACACTGAACACATGAACCAAACTGTCCTAGAGTACATTCACTAATCTTCCGTCCAGCTTGTGACGTGAAAAGAGAAACAGGACCAGAAACTGCTTGGACTGGTTTCATGCGCCTCATCTTTTACCCATAAAGAAAGCATCAGTACATTATTAGTACATCTCAGAGACACTTTCTTTCTCACAGTCACAGGAAGAGTAATAGATTACATCTCTCACAGTATCTGACCAACCAGCTGCTGTGGAAAGTCTTTTTTTAGACACAGAGATGAAAGATGTTTGACTGAATGCTGATAAGTGAAAACTGAGAATTTAGAAGGAAATGTTTTCATCTGAGGTTCTGATTAAAACTGTCACACTAATCTTTATATTTCTATTTTTTTGGACACACTCAAACAAACAGATCAGATATTCTCTTAAACATGAAGACTTGCTGCTTTCTTTTTAAACCTTTAATTTTTTTATATTTAGTCAGTAAAAACAGGCACAAAGATGATGAAAAAAAGAAGAAAAACTTGCTGGAAAATGTGCAACTTTTTTACAAGAGGATGATGTCAAAACCAACACATGAGAGAGTCCCAGTTTCATCTTTAGCAGGACGAAGTTTATTTAACCCTGTGTTTGGACTGATCACTGTTGGCAATAACATGACCAAAGGTTACTCATTGATCCTAATTATTACATTTCAAACACTATGGATCAACCGGCTCATGCAACAAAAGACACAGACTTTATTAATATAATTGTAGATAATATAGGACCTAAATATATGCATCTTGTGATTTAAACATGTAGGTTAAAACACTTATAAAATGGTGTAGGTATATGTAGTGTATATGACTATATATGATTACAATAGAATAGAATAGAATTCAACTTTATTGTCATTGCACATGTCACAAGTACAAAGCAACGAAATGCATTTGCATCCATCCAGAAGTGCTTTAGCCATAATATAGATATATTACAAAATATATGAGCCATAATATAGATATATTACAGAGTATATATAGATATTATATGCAAAGTATATATGTGAGTATTTCTGATTATATGTCCAGTGTATACAGGTATATATATCATAATAAAATCCACAACAATTGCAGCAATTTCCCAACTCTCTGTGAAGGGTACTCATGGCCATTGATCAAATTAGTGGTTGTTGATCAATAATCATGACAATTTGCATATTAATGATCAAGGAACTGACCTCATAGCCCATTGTTCATTCAGTGGTGCTAGTTTCAGTCATGTGCAATTGTACTGTTTATAAGGTTGGGGAAACCTGCAGTTAGCTGAGACTGAAGAAGTCACTTGGATGAGTGACGAAACGTTTCCAGATGAGCAGAATCAACTTTTTGGGATGTACTTTACTGGATGATTGGGCGTGCACCAAAACAATAACAAAATACATTTTCCAGGAGATATGATAATGATTCACATCAGAGTGAAGAACTAATAAATTTATCCTAGATCTACCTGATCACTGACTGATAGAATGGATAAGATTATAAATTAAAATCATATAAAACAAACAAAAAAACCCCACTTTAGAATTACCTTTTAAATGAAATATGAGCACAAATAAAATATTTATCTTAGATATAAGTCAAAGGATTAAAAAAAGGCAAAATGTTTAAAAAAATATAATCATGTGAGAGACATAACATGTAATAATAATAATAATAATAATAATAATAATAACAACAACAACAATAATAATAATAAGCATACTAAGTGTGTGTCTGAGCTGAAAGCTGCTCTCCTCTCCTGGTTTTCTGTATCACACAGACCACAACAACACAAAGCATCACCTGCAGACCGCTGAGCAGTATCCACCTGACTCTGTAGGAGGTCGAGTAAACCCCAAAGGGCTCTCTGTAGATCAGAACTGTTTTTTCTGCTGACACACACGGACCATATGACTCTAAAACTGCACACCAATACTCTCCTGCATCTTCCAGTGAGACATTAGAGATTATCAAGCCTTTATCTGACAGTTTCATTCTGTTTTGTGGAATTTGAACAATTTTGCCTTCTGTTTGGATCGACTTCATAAACCACAAAAGATTCGTAAACTGTCCACTCTTCGCTGAACATCTGACGGTGACATCATCTCCCTCTGAGAAGACCCCTACCGCAGGTGGACCAAATTTGGGGCACACTATAAGCTGGTACCGCTTTTTTAAGGTTTGACTTTGACAGGTGTACCAACCTGAATTCTTTAACATCAGTGATGGAAACACCAACGAGTAGTTTCGACTGATTTCTCTGTAAGTTTTGGTGTGAGCGTCAAACTTCCGCCAACTCGGGGGCTGATCATCAATGAAGGGACACTGCAGCACCACTTTCTCTCCCATCAAGTGATAGATTGTGTTTGTTTGTGTGATCACTCGTACAGAGTTACCGCTCACACACTGCTGTTGCTTCATAACCAGGCAGATGTAAAATGTGTGGACTATGAAGTTAGACACATGAAGAGTTGACATGTTGGTCAGCTCCTGGAAACGTAGCCTTGCAGCATTCTTCCCCAAAGTCAAACTGATCATGGAAGTTCCTGTATATATGTCATCCAAATTTGTCAATTCATAATTGATCCACTGGGCCGTTAGTTTGTTGCCTGCTCCCTTACATTGTTCATTCAGTATTGCTTCAAGACTTGTAATATCACTTGTTTTTTTACTTAATGTGCTGCACACAGTCAGGTTGATGTTTTTCTCATATGTCACGTTGCCCTGAGTCCAGCACACATCTTGGTACAGTCCAGAATCCGAGTGGGTCAGCTGATGGAGTGTAAATGAAGAAGAACCATTTAATGCTGAATATAAGACGCGTCCTGTCACATCTTCATGTAATGTGGGGACTCTCTTCCCAAAGTGAGAAATGTTCCACAGGACCAGAGTATCTTCACCAACATGTTTGGAGGTTTTGCAGGAGCTGTTGTGATCTGGGAGCTTGAATTGAAAAAAGCTTCCTTCCTTGATTATGGCGATAATTTCTTCTGCATGAATGTTGCTGATGAGAGTGAACAGCAGGGAGAAGCAGAGCTGTGCGACTGCAGCCATCCTGCTCAGAGGTCTCCTGGTGAGTGTTGTACAAGCACTGACACTGCTCGCTTCATGAGCTTCCTGTTTGTGGTTGGAGGAGGAACGCCACTTCTTTATCACATCATCAAGGAACACTGAAGCATTGGGCTCAGTATCAAGCGCTCTCTCTGCTTAATGTGTGGATGTTACAAAACCTTTTACAGCTCAAACAAGAAAAGCTGACATTTTATTAAAAGCTTCTAAATCTCAGAGACACTGATCCTAAAGCTGAACTCCTTTGGACCCCAAACAGGCAATAAACCAGGGAGGGTCATTCCATATAAACTCATGAAATCTGAAACCTCAGGATCAGCTGATTTGTTGAGAAATAACAGTACACTGTGATGAGTTCAATCAGCCTTCACACCTGACAGCAATCAAGCAGTCTCCAGCATTTAACACCAGCACTCACACAGACCTCTGCCAGATCTTCAGCTAACTCGTTTACCTGCCTGGTCATCATGCTTCACAGACGGAACAATACTCACCTCTGTCTGGATGCAAGTTTTCTGCTGTCAGGTTACATATCGTGGCACTTCACTTGCCTGCCTCCCTGCCAGAGCTGTTGGACCACGTACATTCTGGAGTCTCTGGATCACTTCTCACCCGGACCCCTTGGACTCCCTCCTCCCATGTCGCCTTTACCTGCAATGCTGACTCTTTGTACTTCCACCCGGGCCCCTTAAATTCAGGAAGAAACATTTTCACTGGGAGAAAAGTATGTGGTCGGGTCTGTTATTCCTATGCCACAGCGACTAACAAATCTACAAACAAGAGCTAGGCAGGAGCTTAAGCCATGAAAAGACAAAACTGAAAACCAAAAAGGAACAACTGATTATTAGAAAACTAAAGAGCAAAACATAAATCCTTTCTGAAAACCCAAACAGACCATGAAATCATAAAAAAACAGAA